CGAGAGCTCTACGTAGAGGTTTGAAGTGAAAATGATGCTCATGAACCTCATCTCCAGATTGGTGGGAATTCACAAGCTTTTTCTCTTTAACTTCTATCCATTTGTGCAAGGTTTCTGCAGCCCCACCAAAGAGAAGTAACAAAGATCCTTCTGTTTGCTACCCAAGCATCTCATCACTTAGTACCCCCAGAGATCATTCAGTCAGTGCTCATGACTGTGGCCAACAATTTTGTCACCAACAAGAACTCTGGGGAGATCATGACAGTAGGAATCAATGCTATAAAAGAGATAACAGCTCGATGTCCTCTAGCCATGACTGAAGAACTTCTCCAAGACCTGGCTCAGTATAAAACACACAGAGATAAGAATGTGATGATGTCGGGCGCCTGGGTGGCTCAGTTGGTTAAGCGACTGCCTTTGGCTCAGGTCATGATCCTGGAGTCCCGGGATCGAGTCCCTCATCGGGCTCCCTGCTCGGCAGGGAGTCTGCTTCTCCCTCTGACCCTCCTCCCTCTCATGCTCTCTGTCTCTCATTCTCTCTGTCTCAAATAAATAAATAAAATATTTAAAAAAAAAAGAATGTGATGATGTCTGCTAGAACTTTGATTCAGCTCTTCTGAACACTGAATCCTAAGATGTTGCAGAAGAAATTCCAGGGTAAGCCTATGGAGTCCTCCATAGAAGCAAGAGTGCAAGAATATGGAGAATTAGATGCTAAAGATTACATTCCAGGAGCAGAAGTTTTAGAAGTTGAAAAAGAAGAGGATGCTAAAAACGATGAAGATGGGTGGGAAAGTACCAGTCTCAGTGAACCATCATTCCAGATGTTTCTTCTGTAGAGTTCAATCATCACATCCAGAGATATCTTGGCTGCAGTTGCATTGCTGTCTCTTAACATGGTGTACATGAACTTCTGCAACACTATATATTAGCACCATATAACACCCAGTGCTCCGATGGTGAGTGGGTTGATGTGCACCACTCTTCTGATGAAGAACAGCAAGAAATATCCAAGAAGCTCAATAGCATGCCCATGGAGGAGCGCAAAGCCAAAGCTGCAGCCATTAGCACGAGCCGAGTTTTAACTCAGGAAGACTTCCAGAAAATCTGCATGGCCCAAATGAGGAAAGAACACGACACTGCCCCAGGGAAAGCCCAAAAGAGGAAATACATTGAAACTGATGGTGATGAAGAGCCCAGGGGTGAGTTACTTTCTCTTCGGGACAGTGAACGCCTTCATAAGAAGCCAAAGTATGACAAGGAGACAAAACTAGCCATGGCAATGGCTGGAAAGACAGACCAAAAAGAATTTGTGAGGAAGAAAACCAAAATGAACCCATTTTCCAGTTCCACAAATAAAGAGAAGAAAAAACAGAAGAACTTTATGATGACGCAATATAGCCATCATGTCCGGTCAAGAAACAAAAGTTCCGAGAAAAGCAGCTGGCACTACGAGATGCACTTTTGAAAGAGAAAAAGAATGAAGTAATCTCCAAGCAAATTTTCCATTCCAAGAAGAGTGCTAAATTTGTATCATTATTTTGAAAATTAGTTAATCAAAAACGTTTATTTACATTAAAAAGTCCTGAAGCACTATATTGTGAAAAACATAGTAAACTTGGTAGCAATTTAGTGTTTTTGTTTTGGAGATGGGTAATGGTGGGAATGTTTGAAATGTAATCAGTAGTGGTGTTGTAAAATCATTTTCATTTAGCATTCATGCAAAAAAAAATGTCGAGTGCCTACTAATTGTCACTGTAGATATAAAAATGAATGAGCCATAACCCCTCACAGAAGGCATTCACAGCCTATTTGGGAAAGAGAAGGGGGCAGATGTGTGTTGTATGTGTATTTATAGTGCAGTTTAAATAGTTCTCTAATAGAGATAGGTCTGTGCTTCTCTGGGGTCATAGAGACTTCTGCAGGGCATGGGAGTTAAACATTTTCTCTTAAAACAGGACAATGTTACAAGAGTAAGAGATTCTTACTTGTATATAGGCTTACCTGCTGAAAAGAGGTCCCTGCTGCACAGATTTTTTGTAGCCAATTAGGTCTTTTAGTCCATCCAAAAAATGTAAGTATTTTTTTGAATGCCAGGTACAGGCTTTTTGGTTAAGACCTCTCTTTATAAATTGCCTTAAGTATAAATAGTGATCTTGGAGTGTCTTTAGTTCATCATTTGGGCTGCCATAGAGGAAAAAGAAATCAGATTGGTTTCCTCAGCCTGCCTTCATGCTGTGGTATTTTCAGGCCACTGCTTGCTTTGTCTCAATAAAAGGTTCTTAATGTAAAAAAAAAAAAACTAATGATGTATTGTATAGTGACTAACATAACATAATAAAATAAAATTAAAAAAAAAGAAAGGGGCTAAGGTGGAAGTAGGAATAAGTAGTCAGAAGGCTTTTGCAATTTGTAGGTAAGAGAAACTAGTGGACCAGGGTGGTGGAGGTGATGAAGAGTAGATGGGTTTTGAAAGTAGAAGCAGGTTTTGCTGATGGTTAAGTTAAAAATAATAATAAATAAATAAATAAATAGATGATAGATAGATAGATAGATAGATAGATAGATAGATAGATAGATAGATGATAGATAGAAAAGGCCCTATATTGGGAAATTTAAATAGACATTTTAACTCATGGGACAAAGAAGAAATTATGATGAACATTTAAAAAGGAAATACTGTATTTAGAATCAAAGCAAAATGTGTGAGATGCAGTTAAAGTGTACTTGAAGAAAATGTATAACCTTCAATACTTAAATTGCAAAAGAGGAGAGGCTAAAAATTAATGTGATAAGCTTCCAATTTGAAAGGTTAGGAAAATAATAGCAAAATGAACTCAAAGAATTAAATGAAGGAAATAGGAATTACAAGAACAGAAATTGATACAATATGTGATACAAAACAGAATCAACAAAGTCAAAAATTGATTGTTTTGAAAACATTAATAAAATGGATATACCTGGTTACCCTGATTAAGAAAGAAATAGTAAAGGTAAATAATATTAAAAATAAAGGAAAGATACAAATAAAGATACTGAGAGATTAAGAAGACAATAAGGATAAGTAAATTTATGCTAATAAATATTATAACTTAGATAAATAGAATGGTCAAGTTTGCACACTTAAGTAACTTAGAATGGAATCATAATGAATCTTCCATAATGAATCCAATAATCATAGAAGAAATAGAATCAATAGTTAAAATCTCCCCACAAAGAGAACACCAATACCAAATAGTTTTATTGGCAAATTCTACCAAACATATAAGAAGCAAGTATTTCATAATACAAAAAAGAAGCAACAGTTTCTAACTCATTTCATGAGGCTGGGATAAACTTAATACCAAACCCTGACAAGGTTCATACAAGAAAATTGCATGTTAATTTCATTTACGAACATACATGCAAAAATCCTAAAGAAAATATTAGCAAATTGAATTCAGCAATCTATAAAAAAAGATAATGCAGTGTGACCAATTTGGTCCAAGAATGTAATATTAATTTAACATCTTAAAAAAAACAATGTAATTAACACATAGCCAGTGAAAGGATAAATAATTATATGAGCACATATAATTGCAGAAAATAGACCCTTATGTGATTCAATGGACATTCAAGAAAAAAAAATCTTTAAAAAATAGGATTGATAGGAAGCTCTGCAGAGCATTTATATCCCACACAGACTGTTAGAAAAATAAGCAAGCTGATTCATTAATTGTATATGAACTATCAAAGGGCTAACAAGAGCCAATTTCCAAAGAAGAATGACAAGGTGGGGAGAGTTGCCCTATCAAATATCAAAACCTGTTAGATATAAAGGTATTGTATGTAATCAAGGCAGTATGGTACTGTACAGGGTAGGAAAATCAACAATTGAAGAGAATAGAACACACAGAAACAGATGCACACTTATACAGAATTGTGATATTTTACAGGATGGTCATTGCAGATTAGTGAGGGATTAACTGCTGCCAGGACAATTGTTTTTGCAGATAGAAAAAAATGAAAAAATTGAGACCTTGCCTAACAACATCGTCTCTGATCATCTGTTCCCCCATTTACGCTTCTTCCACAAATGTTTTATTTTTGTGACTGGCCATACCATCCACCCAGTTGCTCAAACTACAAACCTAGAAGCAATCAATCCTTTCTTCTCTTTATCTCCCAGATATCATGTTCTGCTAATCCTTAAGTCTTGTACATACACTCTGCCCTGTCCTTTTACCCTTCCTTTACCGACTGAGGCTTCAGCCTTGCTACACGGCATTTCTAAGTTAAGTTCCCCTCCTGTGTCGTCCCATCACACCCAGTACTCGCCTGTTGCTATTATGCTTATACTATTGTAATTGTCAGTTTATTTCTAGGTAAGTTTCTGAAGATCTGCTAGAAATTCCTTGTGGAAGAGTATTCTGTCTTGTTCAGTTTTATTTCCAGTGCCTACCCCTGTGCCTGGAATATAGTAAACCATCAATCAGTATTTAGAAAATGCATGAATTAATAAATAAATGAATGAAAGATACACAGTAAGTGAGTTCTGCAACTGAAACATAGAAATTGGTCTAAGTTCTTTTGTCATCTCATTCTGGTTTTTGGAGAGTTCCTCAAATGTATTCTTCTTTGTCAAATAGGTCTAGTTTAAGATAATACTATTTCAGGCTATGATAAAACCACTTTTCATACATTCTTCACATTGATTAAAGATACTTCACACACAAGCAAAAAACATCCCAAGCTAATTCAGTTTTATCTTTTTAGAATGATGATTCTCTGAGAGGGACTAAGTCTTCTATGTTGTAACACAACACAGTGTGTCTTAAAATTGTTCCTTTTTAATTAAATGAAACATCAATTAGAATTGTCTGGAACATCTTAGATGCCCAATACATTTTTTGATGTATGAATGAAAAATTAAAGGTATAAGTTGTGTGTTTAGTATTTTTTTTTATCTAGAAATGACTCTTCTTACTTATCATCACATTCTTTGTCATTTCTTTCTGAAGGAGTTTGATTGGCCAATAGAAGGACTGCTTATTCCAAACAGTCCTCCCATGAAGAAATCCATCTGTAAGACCCCGGAGCTGTGTGTCCCTATGAGGCTCAGAGTTCTGCGGAATGGAGACAAGAATAAAAATAGAGCCTTTATTATAATTGGTCCAGACAGCTCACCTGGACGGAAAATGCAGTTAAGAACAGTTTGCTCATACTTCTCGTTTCTCATTTCCACAAATTTTTGTCTTCGTTAAGAATGCATTTCTGGGAGAATTCTGTGTTTATTTTTAAAAAGGGTTCTCGAGATGCCTGGGTGGCTCCATTGGTTGAGTGACTCTCAATTTTGGCTCAGGTCATGACATCAGGGTTGTAAGGTCATGGGATGAGCCCCGCCTCAAGCTCTGTACTCAGGGGGGAGTCTGCTTGAGATTCTCTCTCTCTCTCCCTCTCCCTTTGCCCCTCCCTCTTCTCTCTCTCTCTCTCTCAAATAAATAAATAAATCTTTAAAATAAAGAAACAAATTAATTAATAAATAAAAAGGGCTCCCATGTTGATATTTGGAGATAAAAATAGAGACTGAGATTTAATTAAAACTTGTCAGGAACTTTTAACTCTTCTGATTGAGGCTAAGCACGGGAGAAAATAATGAGTTAGAAATGGGTACTTCTGATCAAAAAAAGTTCTGAGATTAATGTCTATTTTGAATTAGCATTTTTGTTTAAGTTTTATTAATGTGTTTCAAAATAACTGAGTTCATGAATTTCTTCTTACATATAATTGTGTAAGTCCTTATTTAAATTATTATTGTACATTATTATTTACATGAAGATCTTTGGCATATTTACCAAGCAAATGCAGTTCTCAAAATATAACTTCATATAATTTATATCTCTGCCTTTGGAATAACATTTTAAAAGCTTATCATTCTAGAAAAACATCGATCTGCACTTTAGCTTGTGTTATAAGATTGGAATAAAATCTTCCCATACAACCAATATTTCTCCAACATTAGAGAAAAATCACTTGCTGTATTTTCATTACGTTTTATGACAAAAGAAATCATAGACCAGTGCAAGGCTGTGATGTAAAGAATGAGTTAAATATATTGTTTCTCATATTATTAGCAGTGCTGTTATCTTCTGACCTTTCTTTTGAGATGTTTAGAATATTTGAGGCTGCTGATAATCGTTTAATATTACTTTCTTCACATTGATTAAATATACTTCATACATCGCTGAACAATGAGTAACATTCAGATCGGCTGTCCACTGAACTGCCTGTAAAGATGATAAAGTAAAAAATTAATCTTTAAAGTAAAGTCAAGCCTGAAATTGAAATCTTTGACGCATACATTTCATAATTAGCTCATTCTGCTAGATGTAAAATGTGAGGGTAATGCCCTTAAATTACATATGACTTTTTTTAACATCCAAAGTTAACAATTTTTGTCCCTTCCTACATTTATTTTTTTACACTATGTCTTTCACTGGGGCTCAAAATTATATACAGATTTTATCTTTCCACATTAATGTTTTAAAATGCATAGTTCAGTCAGGTAATCCAAACATAATTGAGAGATTTGTTCATTTGGACAACTATTCCAGCAGAAAGTATGTGAAACCCTGTTATGTTCATGGAATGGTGTGTCCTAATTAATCAAGTATTCACTTTGTTCACTACATAAATTAATTATTCCCCCAAAATTAAAGTACACTGGCATACACTTGACATTAAACTCTTCTAAATATACATTATTTTTTCTTGGTCATTTCAGAAAATTTTCTACAGGATCTTCAATAGCATTGTTTGCCCAGAGCTGTATGTAAATACTGGTTAACAGAAGGTTCAAATGGAAAGAATTTTGGCTAATATTACTGAGCAGCTGCATTGCCCAGTTCCAGAGGACACTTTTCACATTATATTCTATACAAACGCATCCCAGAGTTGTGCAGAGTAGGAGTCCTGCTATGCTACTTTTCATATATCCAAGCTAAATATTTTCTGTCAGAAGAAATAAATGCTAAGGACATGTAGGCGTACATTACATGCATTATCTTGAAACTTATTTGTAAGAATGAAGATAGTTGGGCTATTTTGTGTCTTTACAAGTGAAATCAAGCTAGAATGATGAAACATAGACCCATTTTAACCAAATCCTATCCTGGCAACATGCTGTCCTTTAGTTACTTAATAATTCATTCTAGACAGTTTTGAGGGAAATTTGTTGTTGCTGGTTCCTCTATCTACAAAGCCAACAGAAGATCAAATATCATTTGTTTGTGATTTAGTCGATCTTTACTCTTGGTGAGTAATAAGATCTTGTCAGTCTTGGGTAGTGGCTGTCAAAATTCAAATAAATTAAAACCGTTGTGATTTCCAGGTGAATTTCTTCTCTCAGAATAGCAAGTTAAACAAGGAGAATTTTGTAAGTGTTAGTTTAAGGAATTCTAAGAGGAAAGGCTCAATTTGAAGCTATGTGATAAACTTTATATTTTTAGATAATTTTAATGAGTAAGTTATTAGTAAGTTATGATCTCTGGACTCACTCAAGCACCTTAATATAGCTTTTAAGGCCCTTTGTGAATTGTTCCTGCATATTTTTCTAGCTCTATCTCTTATCAACACTCTCTCCAGTTCTTACTCTTAAACCCCTGCCACTCCCCAACACCTTCCATCTGCCTTAAAATAATAAAGGTGTTCTGAGAATGAGTTTGGCCTTCCTTTCTAGATGCTGACCCTGAACTTGACACTTCCCTACCCACCCCTGAATTAGCTGTAGCTTCTATGTTCTCCAATGCTCTGATTGCTGTGGACTTTTCCCCAGCATAACTCCTACTGCTCTGTGTTGTGATTATCTGCTTATGCTTCCATCCATGAGACAGAGAACAGGGATGATGTGTTATTCATCCATATATGTGCTTTCTGCTATGGTCTGGTCATGGGACAGTGTGTCCTCGTTAATCAAGTACTAAGCCATTTTATTTACCACAGGATATAGGGCCAAAATGGGCCATAAATTAGTGCTTATTGAATTTATTCATTCATTCATGTATCTATTAATTTATTTATGATTAACTATACTTGATTACCATATTTTGTGAATGAACAACTATATTTGACCACTATTTCTTTCATTCAATAAAATATAGAGATTCTAAAACTATACCAGATAGTTTTCTAACTTGAAAATTTGAGCCGATACATATTCCAATTAAACATTTTTTTCTATGTCTATCATTAATCACTTTCCAGTTTAAAAATATTTAGGTTTGGATTGATAACTTAATAATAGATGAATAAACATATGAATATCAACTATATATGAACATCACAGGCAAAATGAATGTAGTCTCTGTATTTTCTTTAAAACTGATAAATTCACAGCTCAGAGTGTCCAGCATTATTAGAAGAGGATTAAAATACTGAAAATTCATTTTCTTATATAAATTGTTCATAGTATAAATGTTTATAAACTTAATTTAATTGTGATAGTTTTTTAAATCCTTTTTTTAAACTTAAAAAAAATTTTTTTTAAAGATTTATTTATTCATTTATTTAAGAGAGAGGGAGGAGAGTGGGGAGAAGGGCAGAGGGGAAGGGAATGAGAGAATCTCAAGCAGACTCTGGGCTAAGCGTGGAGACCTACTCGGGGCTCGATCTCAGGACACTGAGATCACCACCTCAGCCAAAATCAAGAGCTGGACGCTTAACTGACTGAGCCACCCAGGTGCCCCTGAAATCTTCTTCTTCTTCTTCTTCTTCTTCTTTTTTTTTTTTTTTAAAGAAAGCATATTATTTTAGGACAAATTATGATAAATTGAAACCTCATGATTTTTTCACATATTTAAAGATGAAAGGTAATTGATAACATATACTGACATATCAGTCAAATCTTGGATCATTTGTTTCAGAAATGTTGACATTGAAAGGAAAAAGAATGTGAAAAACCACGTTACTAAATATTTTGAAACAGAAACAATCCAGACCGAATTTCACCAACTTTTGGAGAGGTAAATACTTACTATCCTAAATGCAAAGGCATTTTCCATTCTAGTGCCTAAATAATTATGTCTAACACATAATACAAAATACCTATGTATCTGCATAAGAAGGCTGTTGTTAGTACAATGATTCTGGAGTTTTTAATCTGTGAAATATATAAACTATGTGAGTTTATGATACCAGTGCTAATTAATAAATTTTTGCCCCAAATGTCAAGGGCTGGCAATTTCCCCTAGCTTCTGAGCTACCAACTCTGTAAATATAAATTATTCCCATTTAAAAAATGTATGTCACAAATGTACAGCACTTTTCTTTGGTTTACATTTGTTTGAATTGGAATCAGTAGTTATCTACTGTAAACCACATTTTAAATGTCATCAGCCCATATCATATTTGTAAAATATGTTGTAATTTTCTTTTGATTAATATTTTCCTACCAAAACAAGAATTATTCCCATAGAATTTGATAACTGCTTAAAGGTAGAGCACCAGGTATCAACATTTTTACAAAATATGTCTTGTTGAATATGAGGGGGCAATCTTATAAAATGTAAGGAAAATTATGCTAATTTTTATTTAGTAAGTCACTCCAGATGGCTTTGATGGTCTTTTCTTGGTGGTGGTGGTTCTTCCACCTCCAAAGATAAAGGAAGATCTAGTGGTATAACAAGCATTATTTTTAAATAGTAAATAGGGAATTTTTTTTGTTGATACTTAAAGTTGCAGGCAACATGGAATATTGGAAATACCATTGAATTAAGAGTCAAGGGGATTGATTTTAACCCCAGGTTTGCCATTAACTAACAAAAACTTCAGCAAAGCACTCCCCTTCTCTGAGTCCCAGTTCCTCTTTGCTAAACAGAATTGGATGAAAAGCTAAGAGGAAAGCATGAAAGAATTTGATTTTTTTCAATATCTGTTGTATTCATGTCATGTGCATCAACTGGTGTTAGATATTCTGCTGGAGATTAAAAAAGGGGGAGGGGGGCAAGACATTCCGTGCTCTCAGGAAACTCCTAACTTGTTGGGAAGACAGTTTGCTCAGTGAAACAGTCAGAAAGCCACAGAGGGCAGTATTTAATTGTGCAGAAGTAAAAATAATCAAGGGGTCATTTTATAGATGACCAGGAAGGAGGAAGAACCTGGTGAGGGACAGCTATTAGGGAAGGCCTCATGGAGAAGAGAGAAAATGAGAGAGATCTAAAAAGACAGAGATACAAAGCAAGAAGATAAAGAAAAGAAGAAAGCATGTATCCATAGCTTCTGTGCATTTTCCCACTGTTCTGAAATAACTGGAAGGATGTGGTGGGGCTCCTGGGATAGGTGTCCTGGTGAGTGATTGGAGAAAGGAAGTCCCTGCTCCTATAGACCTGTAGCGATCTGCAGACCTGGGAGACACACTTGCTTCCTTTCTCCCAGGGCATCCTAGGTTATAATGAAATACAGCCCTCCAGGTACCAGCTCCACCTGCCACTCCTCTTCCACTCTAGTGCTCACAGAGCACAGAGATCAGACTCTACTTTTCTGGACTCCCTGTAAATCTGAGTAGGCCATGTGGTTGCCAGTCCTAATTCCTAGTGTGCAAGTCAGAAGACCTTATTTCTAGGACATTTGCCTCCACGTAATGGAGAAATCTTGGACCACTTGCTCAGCACCTCACTCAGTCCCCTCACTCTGTGGATCAACTATCTCATTATTCTATGACGGGGGGCCATACAATGTTGTGAAGGACTCAGATTTAGGTTTGAATTTCAGCTCTCCTACTTGCTAGCTATGCAATCTTGGGCAAGGAAATTAACCTTCAGGCTCACTTTCCTCATCAGTAAAATTGGCCTCTCAGAAATGATGTGAGAATTAAGTGAGAGTAGCCATGAAATGCTTGCAGTGCTTGATCCATTTTGATAATGTGTTGCTGACTGTTTATGTGCCAGGCGCTGTACAGATATCCACACATTTAACCTGTAAAATATCACTGTGAGATAAATACTACTATAGCTGTCTTTTACTGATAGGGCAAATGAGGCCCGGAGAAATTAAGGGACTTTTTCAAGGTTACACAACCAGAACAGGAGGGCTAGAATTTGAACCCAGGCAATCTGACTCCAGAGTCCACATTCCTCCTTAGGCACTTAACAGCTAATTCTGTCTCCATTTATGTTAACTGGCATGTGAACAAGTTGGAGGAATTAAATAGAGAGGAAAAAGCTTACCCCAATCCTCTCTAGCCCACCTACATGGGCCAATTAAATTCAGTACTATTAAAACCAGGGTTTCAAAAAAAGAAAGATTTACCAACCACCCATTCCTTCTATTCTCCCACTCGTTGTCCTAAAACAGGATATTCCCATAGTCCAAATGTTCTCCAGGAAAATGTGAGTAGGAGCAGATATGATAATGGTAATCCTTAGGTCATGCTATAACTGCCTGGACCCACAAAGATATCCATTTAGGGAAAGTAGAAGGAATCAGGTTGGGTCTCTGGGCAGCAAAGAAAGAGAATCAGGCACATCTTGTGGCTGGGGGCTCAATTTTCTTATAGTTCCTTCCCACTCCCTCCTCACCAATTCCTTTGGTCCACCAGCTGCTAGAGCTATGACACAGGAGGCAGAGACTTAGTTCCCATTGCCTTAGTTCCTTCTAAGGCCTCTCAGAGAAATGGAGGGCCTAATTATCTGCTCAATTGCTTTATCCCATCTAAGGAAACAAAATTGAGAAATATTCTTCATACAGTTTAGCCTTCCTGATCAGCATAAAGTCACTTCTAATTCACTTAGGATAGACAGTACATTCTAATGTAAAATATATTTAGCAAGAATCCTTTACTTTTCTTGTTCCAAAGGTGGGATCATCTCAACAGTCTTCTCAACAGCCCCATCACGTTCCGTTACCCCTCCCTTCTCTTCCCCCACCACTCAGCCTCCTTGCCACTCTCCTGAACGGGCTGTGTAACTTGCAGCCTCTCCTGCTTTAGTGCATCTTCTACCTGTCGGACAGCTAACTCTCTAAAGAGCGGAGCTGAGAACATCACACCTCTACTCTCCTACCTTCAGTGACTTCCTGCGGTTTATGGGGTAGAGGCCAAGTTTCTTAGCCTGGTATCTTAAGTGCTTTCCATGGGTTCCTGTCTTCTTTTCCAGCTTCATCTGGCTCCTGCTCCCATCCATACACCCGGGTCCAGCCACGCAAGACTTCTCTAGGTCCTAATCCTTCTCGACCAACTCCTATTCATCTGCAAAGGCCCAACCCAAATGTCACTTCCTTCAATCAGGGTTCCCTGGAGGAATTCATTGTTTTGTTTTTCCTGTGTTCTCACAGCACCCTGGCCATGTGCCTATGACAGCACCCACTCCTGCATATTTTTTTAAATTTTTTAATTACATTATGTTAATCACCATACATTACATCATTAGTTTTTGATGTAGTGTTCCATGAGTCATTGTTTGTGTATAACACCCAGTGTTCCATTCAGTACATGCCCTCTTTAATACCCATCACCAGGCTAACCCATCCCCCCACGCTCCTCCCCTCTAGAACCCTCAGTTTGTTTCTCAGAGTCCATAGTCTTTCATGGTTTGTCTCCCTCTCCGATTATCCCCCCTTCATTTTTCCCTTCCTGCTATCTTCTTCTTTTACATCATTAGTTTTTGATGTAGTGTTCCATGATTCATTGTTTGTGTATCACTCCTGCATATTATACTTCAGTTGCTGACCTGTCTCTCTCCTGACAAGAGAGGGAGCTCTTCAGGGAACAAGAAAACAGTATCATTCATTTTGATATCCACAGGGCAAGGCCAAATGCTTGTTTGGGGCCTGGGGCTGGAAATCACTGTTGAGTGGTTAACCAGGCTAAAGATTCCTGTTTGAAAGGGAGTTAAAGGGCCATAGAGATCACTACTAATGGAGGGAGATGAGAAACTGCTTGGTGATGGATACGACTCTGGGGAGAGAATAGAACGTTAACAGAAAAAGCCAAGGAAAGTATTTTAGGTAGAAGGAAGAGCGTGAGCAAAGGCACACAATTAGAAAGTGTGCGGCATATTGAAGAATGAAAAATCAATAATGATATGCCTACTTATTTGTTGATCAGGCCTGGCACTGTGGTAAGCACTTTTCAAAATCAGCCTTTAATCCTCACTAAAACCCTAGAAGATAAGAAATTGAGGCTTAGAGAAGTTCATTTGCCCAAGTCCCACAGCTTGGATGGGGGAATGAGACTCCAAAGCGGTCTGATGGGCTCCAGGGTCTGCCTCTGGGTGGTCTCACAGGTCTGCAGCAGGAGTGGGTGTTGATGGTCCAGACCCTTGATTTCTCATATTTTCTCTCTACTCTGCTGGAAGGCTTCTATCTACAAGCTCAGTTTTTGTGTCTCTTATTACAGGTGCACTGAAATTTTAAATTTACCTTCTGCAGCTCGGAGATTGTTCAATGAAAAGGGAAAGGAAATCTTTGCCCTAAAAGACCTTCAAAGAGATGAACTGGTAAAGACATGAATGTGAAACTGGAAATAGTATATGCATACAACTAAAAGATAAATGTTTTAAAATACAAGACTTCAAACAGTAACTGCTTCCCCCCTTACTTTCTCTCAGCCTTACTCAGCAATCCTCAGAAAATCATACTAATAGCTAACTGTTGAGAGTTACTGTCAGGCATGATTTCCAGGGCTTTCTAAGAATGAACTCATTTAAGGATCAGCATGACCCTATGAGATGGATGCTATCAATGTCCCCACTTTAGAAGGGAGGGTGGAAACTAGACAAGACCAGATTATTAACCACTTGTGATTTCTGTCTCCTACTCTGAAGGAGGTAGATACCTCCTCTTTTTGAGGCTTTCAAAAAGTAGTTGTTTAGTGATTTCTTACTAAATGAAAATTTCACTCTTTCAGAAAAAAAATTAAATCTAGTGTTTCACACAGACTGGGTGGCTAGAGATGATTGAGAAGGACTTTAGCAGCCAGCCCTTTCTCCCATTTATGGAATTTGAGGCATCAGCTCGAAAAGAAAACCTGCTTGACCAATGCCTGAAATTCTTTGAACAGAGAGCTGAGCTCTCATCATATCAGAACTCAACTCAGGCTCTGAATGTAAAGACCCCTTGAGCGAGTCTTAAACCATAGTACTGATGACTAAAGTCTGTGTTGTTGGAATTGGGGAGATCTCTTTTGAATTCTAACACTATCACTTCCAAGGTTTTAGTTCGTTGGTTTTTAATTTTTTTCTTTGCTTTTGCTACTGCATTAATTCACTGGGTTATTTCAGAAAGAATTCAAGATAGATTACATTAAAACATAGGATATAAAAGGATAAATTTAATGTAAGGATAAGTAGATGAGGCCACCAAGGCGAAGGGAGTATGAGTAAAAGGAAGATAAGATGGAGCCAGGAGTGAGTGTTACAAGATTCTGTATATTTGCTAGAAACAAACCTATCACTGTTCTGAGCAGCCAACATAGAGACAGAAACATCAACAGTTACATGATCAAGTATGTCCAGAGAAAAAAGGGAAGCCTATTGTTCAAACAGAAAAAAATTTTGAGAAAGTTTTCCCTGAGTTGTCATACAGGGGGCTGTGTATAATCACCAACGTGGGGCCACGGAAGAGCACCGAGTAGAATTTTTCTTCCTACTGAGTATTCTCAATATATCACTCTATTTTTTCTTACTTCAAAGAAATACCAATTCGTTTAAGAAATAAATATAAGCAGCATGAAGAACAGGTATCATTCATAATCTCAGCATCTAGAAATAGCCACATTAACATATTAAAGTTCATTTATACCAGTGGCTTTGTTCAGCTTCTTCTGTAAAAGGTCAGTTAGTAAATATTTACAGACCATATGATCTCTAATGAAACATCAGCTCTTGCCATTGTAGGCACAAAAGCAGTCACAGGAAGCATGTAAATGCATGGGCATAACTGTGTTCTAATAAAACTCTATTTACACAAACAGGCAGCAGGCCAGATTTGGGCCTCAGCCATAGTTTACAAAGCCCTAATTTACACCTACCTCCCCTTCCTTCCTTCCTCCCTCCCTCCCTCCTTCCCTTTCTTTCTTTTTTTCCTTCCTTTAAAAAATTATTTTATAAAACTTTATTTTGAAAAAATTTATAGATTCACAGGACGTTGCAAAGATAGTATGGAGAAGTACTTTTTTTTTTTTTGGTATAACCCTTGAGATCCTTCAAAGTTGTCATGTTTATCAACAGTTTTGCCTTTTTATCACTGAGTATTATCCATGGTGTCATAGTTTGTTTAACCATTTGCCTATTATAGGACATTTTGTTTGTACTTTTGGCTGGTTTTGGCTATTACTAATAATGCTGCTGTGAACAGTTGCACACAGGATCAGAGATTCACTTCTTTGCTAGGTATATGTTTCATGTGGAGAACATTGGATCAATCCTGATGTGTCCATTGCTCAGCAAAAGAAACAAATCTTCCTGAGAAACTTAGCATCAGATATTTCTAAAATTCAAACTTTCTGCAGTATACGTAAGATAGAGGGTAAGCATTGGAATTATTTACCATAATATATATGGCCAAAATTAAATGCTTGATGCTGCTTTTTTTTTAATTGTTTGTTTAAATAGTCATATTTCACTCCTATATCCTGCCGTTTAGCTCTTTAGACAAAATTATATATTTAACAGGATTGCATATTTTAATTCACACTACACTTTGGATGTGTAAAGAAAACGTAATTTATTTTGTCTTTAACAAATCAGGTCTTCTTTGTTTTCTGTTAAGGAAAGTATAAAGTGTCCAATCAGGTTTAAATTTTGCCTTACCCATTAATTTATATTATTTATAATCCATTAATTATATATTTAGGGACAGATTCCAGATTTCCCAGTCCCCAGAGTCTCTCTTTCGTTCCTCTCTCAGATGGTAGGGAAGAACTTGGGGCACAGAGTCTCTTGCTTTCTGGGGCTTGGTGGCCGCCATCCCTGGCTGGGCGACTGTGTTCCATTCTTTTGGCTCAGACGGTGCTTTGGGTGGGTGATGCTTCCTGCTTCTGCTCCCTTTGGCCCCCTGAAGCCTGGCTGTGGTGGAGCTCATCTCTGAAGTCCTTATTATAGAACCCCTTCACCCCTCCTTCGCAACCACTTCTGGAAAGCTCTCCAGCATGACTTCAGCAAATCTTGGGTCATGGCTGCACCTCTCAGAAACCAGATCCAGGTTGACAGGGCTGTGCCTCAGATTGGCGTGGTGGAGGCAACTTGAGAGGTGACTTGTCACAATGTTCTGAATAATGAACAGTGTCCTTAATGTTTCCTTGGCATAGCTTAGATAGATACCCGAAGTGAAGCCTGTAGAGGGAATCATGACATCCAGTGCTGATTTTCTGCCTTCCTCTATCTTCTGTCTCAAATGCCCTCAGGCCAAGAAATGGTGGGTTTTCACCAAATCAACATTGAGGTTAAAGCTTTGATATAATAGATGGGAGCTAACAGCATTTAGAAAAATCCTAAATCATGAGAGCGTCAATCCTGATTTACATGGCCCTTGTCTTATGGCAATATGTTGTGCTTGAGTGTCAAAACTAACTTTGTACTTTTGCTTTCCTTTGTAACATTTCACATCAACTCATGGTCTTACTCCTTCTGTTAAGGCTGCCCCAGGAGCTAGGACAAAGGTCCTATACATAGAAAGTCAAAAGAGAAAAATCATTAATATAATTTAAAACATTTCCCTATTACATATATTGAATGCTGTACAGTAAGTTTTGTATGTATCTTTCAAGGCATTAGGGACTTCCACTGAGGAATTTGGGATCCTAGATAATGATCTAGAGACATATATCTAAATAATATGCCCATTTGAATGGTTAGAATTTATAATAATTAACATTTTTTAGAAAGACCTATCCTTTAGTACTTTTTTTCCTCTTAGACATTTTTAAAAATGAAGGGTAATTGACTATGTTGCTATATTTGTTTCAGGTATATAACATAGTGATTTGATATTTATATACATTATGAAATGGTCACTGTAATAAATCTAGTTACCATTTGTCACCATACAAAGTTGTTATAATATTATTGACTATATTCCCTATGCCATACATTACATCCCCATGTCTGATTTTTTTATAACTGGAAGATTATACCTTTTAATCCCCTTCATCTATCTCGTCCATCCTTCTACCCTTCTGACAATTATCAGTTTGTTCTCTGTATCTGTGAGTCTGTTTCAGTTTTGTTTTGTTTTGTTATTTAGATGTAAGTGAAATGTACGTGAAATAATACAGTATGTGTCTTTCTCTGTCTGACTTATTTTACTTTGCAAAATACCCTCGAGTTACCTCCATGTTGACAAAATAGCAAGATTTCATTTTTTATGACCACATAATATTCCATTATCTATATAGCACTTCTTTATCCATTCATCTGTTGATGGACACTTAGACTGTTTCCATATCTTGGCTACTGTAAATAATGCTGTGATGGACATAGGGGTACATATATCTTTTCAAATTAGTGTTTTCATTTTCTTTGGATGAATACCTCGAAGTGGAATTGCTGGATCATATGGTAGTTCTATTTTTAATTTTTTGAGGAGCCTCCATACTGTTTTCTGTAGTAGGTACACCAATTGTACATCACCAACTAGGTGCACAAGGGCTCCCTTTTCTCAACGTCTTTTTTTTTTTTTTCGTTAATAGACATTCTGACAGGTGTGAGATTATATCTCACTATGATTCTGATTTGATTTGATTTGCATTTCCCTGGTGCTTAGTGATGCTGAGCATCTCTTCATGTGTAGGTTGACCATCTGTATGTCGTCTCTGGAAGAATGTCTTTTCAGGTCCTCTGCCCATTTTTTAATCAGATTGTTTTTAGATATTGAACTTTATGAGTTCTTTGTATATTTTAGAGGTAACCCCTACTTTCAGTACTTTTGACTGCAAATATCTTGGGGGGAAAGAATCTACAGAAAATTAAGTGAAATCCAGTTTATTAAAGAGCAACTATCAATTAACACTTAGAAAGTGTTCTCTTAGACCAAATAGCTGAAAATTGTCTGCATTCTTATTTTAACATGTGTTTTCAAATTCCTAGTGTTCTGCAATCATAACTAATACGTCCTTGCAATTTGCGCATTTCTGCTCAGCTCTTGTTTTAGAAGTCCAAAGTGATATCGTGTCTGGAGCCAAGCTTGCTGTGCATAAGCCTGTAGCAATTTTTGGAGAAGAGAAGCAAATGATAGGACCAAAGGAAAAGCAAATGCAAAAAAATGCTTTAACAATGGAAAAGGCTTCCAGTGAAATTCTGTAAGTAATCAGCATGGCCAGGAAAACTACCTGGTTCCTATTTGAACTCAGCTCATTAGCTCAATAACAGCACAGAGCCCATGCAGGGAATCCATATACCACATTTGTGATATGGATGTCAGGTGAAGAGCTAGTATTTAATTAGTTTTCTGGCAAAAAGATCAAGCTGGAGCTTCAATGTTCAGCCATCACAATGATCTACTTTCAGTAATTTTATTATTATACTACTATTTTTAAAAGACTAGAATTTTGGAATTGCAAATTATTCGAGGAATCCGTCCTGTTTCTTTTCCATTGATGTTGACTCCAGGAACAATTAAATTAATATAGGTTCAAGCTGGATGCATATTAACATACAGCCGTCATCCTGGGTCACTGAAGCGGTTTCTGGGTTGGTGTCTCTCTCTCCATCTTCTCCTCCTTCCAATTCACTTCGAAGTTCCTTCTACAGACAATTATCTTTCTAAAACGTAATCCTTTTTTTTTTTTTAATTTTTTATTTATTTATTTGAGAGAGAGAGAGAGAGAGAAACAGCATGAGCGGGGATAGGGTCAGAGGGAGAAGCAGGCTCCCCGCTGAGCCGGGAGCCCGATGCGGGACTCGATCCTAGGACCCTGGGATCATGACCTGAGCCGAAGGCAGTCGCTTAACCAACTGAGCCACCCAGGCGCCCAAACGTAATCCTTTTTATACAGTTCTTCAGTGGCTACCTACCGCAGAGAGAAAAAACATCTAGTCTGTAATCCCAAGCCCTTCTGACCTGAGTCCAGGCCTGTCACTGACCCTCATTTGCACCCCCACGCCCACCTCCACTCCACACTTTTTCTTCCCGACACACGAACTAGGCTCCAGCTCCGCGGCAACACGCTGCGGCTGAATGTGACATACTCCGTCTATGCGCCATCGCAGGCCTCTGAGCCACTTCCGTTTTTCTCTCTGCCTGAAGTGCCTTGACCTGCCTGGTACTCACGTGCGGAATGATTCTTCATCATTGAAATCAGTCATGGTAATGATTGTACATAGGGCTGTGCTTATCAGTCCTCCCCCTCCCCTCCCCCCACCAGCCTGGGAATTCCTTGAAGGCAAAAATCCTCGTGGTGCATGTTCTGTGAAGACCAGGGTAGCTGAATTTAATCATCCTACACTGAATAAATGAAGGAATGATTGGGTGAGTTTCCAAATTCTAAAACCATATATAGCTAGTCAACTACCCTTGTGATAACAGTAAAAATTAATTTACATGTCATTTGAAACTATTTTACAAACTACTTTAAAAGACTGCTTCTATCCTCTATCAACTCTTATTTTAGGAAACAAAGCCCCTCATTTTGATGAGTGATTCATCTGGTCTCATGTCCTGACACTCACAAAGGCACCAGAAGGCCTTTTTCAGAGAGAAATGATTTGGCCTACATGGTATATTCCTCAATGGCTAGAGAATTTCTGAAGAATGTATCATCTGGCCCCTTGAGTTATTAGACTGAACATGGGAAAAAAGTAAACAGAAAGTGAGAAAAAAAGAAAGAACATCTTTGAGAGCGCAAAGATCCACATTGTTCTAATTTATAGATTTCATCAAGGCCTGGAGTTGTTGAGTTGTTGAGTTGGAGTTGTGAGTCCACTCAAAACAAGGCAGGAATCTCCTGCACATTCCGGGCAGGCTCTTTTGATCCCATCTTTTGTTGAATACTCATAGTAACAGGGAGATTACTATTTCGCAAGGCAGCCCATTCTAATGTCGAAATTATTTAGAACATTGGTTCTAAACCAATTAGAACATGGTTTCATTTGTTTCTGTTTATATCCATTCCTTTTCTACTTAAAAGTCCTTAAAATATGCAAAGTTCATCATCATCAGGCTACTGGGTTATCTCTTTTCCAGGCTAACTTTCACTCGTTCTCTGAACCACTTCTGATGACTCAATCCTAAATCATCTTATATTAGAGAGTCACTTAAAGATTTCCCCAGAATTTCTCAGATATGTTTGTTTGGAAGTTTTACATATTTGAAAAGAGGGATGATTTAAAGAGGGATATCCACAAAGCAGGAGGGTAAACTTAGATCTAGGAGGAACCCTTTTGATAGTTGGGTTTTGTGCAAAGATATCTGGTAATAAGAATAAGCAAAATGGAAAAGAAACTCTGGGAGCACTCACCTCAGCTTTGCTGCTTTGTGAAAGAAAAGGCTTTTTTAGCATGGAGCTCAGGGAGAACTTTCCCATTTCCTTACTGAATTACAGGCAGGCCCTGCCCACTTCTTAAGCCTCTTCACGTACTACCATTTTCTTTTCTTTTTTTTTTTTAAAGATTTTTTTAAATTTATTTGACAGAGAGAGACACAGCGAGAGAGAGAACACAAGCAGCAGGAGAGGGAGAGGGAGAAGCAGGCCCCCCACAGAGCAGGGAGCCCGATGCGGGGCTCGATCCCAGGACCCTGGGATCATGACCTGAGCCGAAGGCAGACGCTTAACGACTGAGCCACCCAGGCGCCCCCTCACGTACTACCATTTTCACTCACTGCACACCTGTCACGTCAGTGTCTTTCTGTTCCTCAAATGAACCAAGCATATTCTTGCTTCAGAACCTTTCCATTTATTCTCTTTGCCTAGAATGTTCTCTCTCAAACCTCACATGGCTGGCTCCTTCCCATTTTCCAGGTCTCAACTCAAACATTATCTTTCAGAGGAGTCTTCTCTGACTCCATTGCTTAAGTAGATCCCACCCCACCCTGGCTAGTTTCTATCACAATATCTTGTCTTATTCCACTTATGGCACTTATATTATTATTTATTCATTGACTTGTCTGTTATCTCTCTTCTGCCCACTAGAAAGCTCCATGAACCCTGATAACTTACCTGTTTTGTTCATCACTGTATCCCCAATGCTTAGAACTCTGTGCCGATCATGTAGCAGATATTCAAGAAATATCAGTCAAAGGAATGAGTGACTAACTATGGAATGATTAGTTATATGAGTGAATGGACAAATGAATGATTTAATAAAGCAAGGTATATTTTAAAAGGCTGTTCTAAAGTCTGTACTTCATTTGCCTGGAAGCCAAAGAGAATACAGAAAATTCCAAGTTAGAAAATTAAACATCTGGACTTGGGGGAAGAATCTTGTTTACACCTTGCTGAATATGTTATAACTAAGAAAGACATTCTTGTTTTCTGTTTTCCTCAGAGATAGTTGGTGGGAAAGCTGTGTTTTTTATTTTTAACACTAGATGGCACTGTTGTTTTTTAACTGCTGGGAAGAATTTTGACTTGAGAAGCCGCGTGTGCGCAATTTTGAAAGAGGCAGCGGTTACCCTCCAATTTCATATCCACGTATAATACTTGTGTTACATTTGAAAAGTGTATGGTGTGCTGTGCCAACACAGGAATTGACCCCGAAGATTTTGGTAATTTGATGTTGCTTCCAGTTATATCCAATACCACGAGCACCTTGGCGATCACAGCCTACCTACTCCCCGTCAGCTTAAATAAAGCATATGCACATTTAGAGTTCTGAAATAGGCTCACTGCTTTGCCTGTATATTTATCCTGCCTTGAGCAGAGCAGTCTTCATATTGTGTTGTGATCCCATGGAAGCAAATGTACCCTCAACAGTGCTCCAGAACGTGACATGTCTAGATCTATGGTGGCTAGGCTCCTGTTCACATCTTCATCTTAATAAGAAGCCAGAAGGCTGACTGACTCAATTATTCAAGCTATGACTATGTAAGTGTTTTAGTACATTATTCTCTGTCAAAATCTGGCACGTCTGTGCCAATGCTATTTGAGCCTCTCTAGATTTGAGAGGAAAAGTGAAGTTAATTAAGATTTCTTAACATTGTCTAATGAGTAAACTTTATGAAATGCAGTAATCTAGGCTGTCCTGTTCCAGACAGAATTATGACCCACTTACGGAGTATGCAAAAGGAATCTCATTACACATTCATTATGAATTTCTTAAACTACCGAGTAGTGTTAATCTTGCAGTTTTTTGTTTTTTTTTTAGAGGGGGGTAGGGCAGAGGGAGAGGGAGAGAGAGAATCTTAAGCAGGCTCCATGCCGAGCATGGGCAGAGCACAATGCGGGGCTTGATTTCACAACCCTGAGATCATGACCTGACCTGAAGTCAAAAGTCTGATGCTTAAACGACTGAGCCACCCAGGCACCCCAATCTTGCAGTTTTTGAGATATAATACATGGCCCCATTTTTTCCTGAATAAATATAGTAAAGATGAATGCTGTTTACTATGTAATTGGGGAATTTTATTTGTAGGCTTATATTAAAAGATCTAAATTATGTATTAGTAGGAGGTGGATTGGCGATGTTAAGCACCATCATGGAAATGCGATTTACAGATCCATCAATATCCTTCACGATATGATCAGACTATATCTCAGAGAAAATTCTGTGAATAAAAATCAGAATTCTTACACTTGTGTTTGCTTCTGAACCTTGATAGAGATTCACATGCAAGAGCCCATCTCCGAATGAAAGCTTGTCACACACTTCTCAGGTATGCCTGGCAGGAAACTCCTCATGACTTTGATGAGGATGACAGTCTTCCAAAGAAAATGGAAGAAGAACTCTTTGAAAATGTGGAACCACAGAAGAAATACAGGTAAAAAGTTGCAAGGAATTCTTTTTTTTTTTTTTTAAGATTTTATTTATTTATTTGACAGAGAGAGAAAGAGAGAGAGAGCACAAGCAGGGGAGTGGCAGGCAGAGGCAGAGGGAGAAGCAGGCTCCCCGCAGAGCAGGGGGAGCCTGATGTGGGACTTGATCCCAGGACTCTGGGATCATGACCTGAGCTAAAGGCAGTCACTTAACCAACTGAGCCATCCAGGCATCCAGTTGCAAGGAATTCTTGTTAGAGATTTCTGCATGGCCTTAGATTTGCTCACTTCAAGGCAAAATGATTCCTGAGGGTTTGCATTACTGTTAGCCGCCATTTACATTAACATACACATTTGTGTCTTTCTTGTGTTTTTGACTAAGTATTTACAAGTATTTGTGGGAAGGCCCTTCTCCCTTTAGCTTATTTTGTGCCATGTAATGTAATTTCTTGTTCACTGGTGTGTCTTTTCTATTAAGCAGTAAGCTCATCCACCTTTGCCTCCTGATAACTTAACGTAAAGCCTATGTATTTGTTGAATGAATGTGTGAATGAATTTAAGAATAAGCATGTAAGATGCCGTGATGTCCTTAAGAAATTAGTAAAATGTAGTTTCTTCCTTTTTAATTTTATTTTTTTCTGGTCAATGTCCAATGAAATAACAGGAATTTATAGTACTTTGTATTATTCCATAACCTTTAGACTTAACTTTATAGCATTTTGCTTAACATTATAGCATTTTGTATAAATCAAACGGCTTTGGCATTTCAACAGTTAACATTGCCCATGCACATACTAGGGGCTTCGTAGATGTTTATAACTTAATTGACAATGCATTGTGATGTTTCATATATTTCATAAGTCTGCTTATTGCCTTAAGCTCCTTAAGCAAGAGATTCCTTTGAATGAACTTATTAGCATAGCATTCTTTTTTATGATATTCTATGAGTTGTTAGGGAGGATTGAGAAATTTGGAGAATGGCATTCTCTTTGCCAGGCAGACTGTAGATAGAGGCTAGAAACAACCATGATTTGAACACCTTTGCTTCTCCCTCTTCCATTTCTACAGGGCCCTCTCCTTCTCCTATTCCTTTTCCTCTTTAACTAAATTATCTCTTCAACTCAATTTCTTTTTGCTATGCTGATGAGTTTCTCATATTCTCTTGGATGGGCATGTATTCCTATTACAGAATAAACTCAGAATTCTACTCTTCACGTCCGCTTGGCAGGGCAAGGCAAATAGCAGCGGTGCTGTCCCCATGATAACGCCTCCCCATTATCAGTGAATTTGGTTCACAGCAGGTCTCTCGCCAACAGAACTTGCGGTCTCCAGCACATTGAGGGCACAGGATGCTTTTCGGCCTCTAATAGGATTCTCTTTATCTCAGCCATTCTCCAAAGCAGAGTAAATTGCAGAAGCTTTGCCACCAGCAGTTTGAATACAGAGATGGGCAAATTATAAGCTGTGCCACTCCTCAGCTAGTTTTGGGAGTTCGAGGTCCTGATCTGCGCTCAGGCATGGAGGTAGTTTTGGTGGAGAAGAAAGTGGATGGTAGTCATCAACGATGGATGCACAAGGAAGGCAGCAGGTAAACCCATTATACTGGGTGTTAATCTATCAAAATATATCATTGACAGCCTAAGAAATCTGGTATGGTCCCCACAGAGCAGGCAAGGGTATACGTGAGGACTTTGGATTTTCTATTTAAGGTAGCCAATAATTTTTTATCCTACTCAAAGAAGAGAAAGAGAGTGATATCAAATGTAAATGCTCAGTAGTCTATACACAACTTATCCAGTGTCAATTCAGATAGGAAATATGAAATCTGACCTACGGGTTCATAGTTTTAACTGGCTATGGAAGTTAAGAGAAAACTGGGCTGCCATCTAATTCTAATTTTTATGATTTGAAAGGATCAAGAAAGAACTTAAAAAAGTTTGCAGTACTTTTCATTAACTCAATCTCCTGCCCCTCCCCACATTCATGCCTTTCCACCATCCCCTATTTCCATCAAATAACCAACTGATATGGCTCTGCTTACACAGTGAAAATGAATTCTTACCTTAACAAATATATCAATCCAATCCTGGCCCTTGTTTGGATCCAGATTCAAGCCAACTACTGTTTAAGGTTATTTCTAAGACAACTGGAGGAAATTTAAAAGTCTGGGTACCAGATGATGCAAAGGAAGTCTTATTAATTTTGTTGTGTCCTAATAGTTTAATGGCTATATTAAAAAAAAGAAAAGTCCCGATCACTGAGATATATACTGTAGTACATACAGATAAAATTAAGAGGTAGGTCAGATTTGCATTAAAATATTCTAGCAAAAGCAAAAATGTAAAAAGTTGGGGGGGATGAAACAAGAATGGTAGAATGCTGGTAGCTGTTGAGTCGTGGTGGCTTTTTAGACTTCTCTTTCTGTTTTTGTTCATATATGAACATGTCTTTAACGAGAAAGAAAACAACTCCTTGGTTTTTAGATTGGTTTGCTTCAAATTCTACCATTAATCTTGTATGGTGGGGCTCCAGAGGCCTCTTCAATCTCTTGACATCTGTGTGATACATTTTTTTTTTTTCTGGGAAAGAGCTGTGGTTTTCACTGGAATTTTCAAAAGGTGTGTGTTGTGAAAGGTTTAGGAATTGCTGCTTTGACAGAGACTGAAAATGTGGAACCACAGAAGAAATACTGAGTATTTCTGAGTATCTGGGATCGAGTCCCACATCGGGCTCCCGGCTCAGCGGGGAGCCTGCTTCTCCCTCTCACCCTATCCCCTCTCATGCTGTTTCTCTCTCTCTCTCTCTCAAATAAATAAATAAAATAAAATATTTTTTAAAAATGGGTATTGGATCTCATCAAATACCTTTTTAGCATTTATCAAAACTGGGCACTGCACGAGAGCTGGTATTCTCTTATTATTCACCTGTGTAACCTTGCCATTTGCATAGTTTGGGTCTTGCATTTTTGTTGACACTCAATATTATTCATATGAATGAATGATCGTACTGAGTAAGCTTTAGCGGGCGGCTGCAGTAGCCCAGCATGGGCAGGAAGGAAGCTGGTCGTACTGTTCACTGTCTGAGATGAGCCAAGCGCCAGCAAGGAACACTTACTGGGCTTGTTTTCGAGAAGGCGGAAAAGGCAACCTGTAGATAGACCTGTGAGTGTGTTCCTTTGCCCCATTCATCCTAGCTAAGCTAACTTTATGACAGGGAGCTAAGAAGCAGGTTTTTGTCCCTGTGAATGATTTACTATATGGGACCAGAATTCATTCATTCTGCTGCAAAGGGTAATTAAGGGTGGTGTTTTAGGTGCTGGTGCTTTAGCTGAGAATAAAACAGATGAAAATCCCTGCCCCTGCAGAGCTAATGCTACCCGGCTCTACATTTCTGGAATTCAGCCACACATCTTACTGCTTTAGCTTACTGTATTATGGTGGAGGTCCTCCTCGAACCCAAGTTGGAAATTGCCAGGGATACACTCACTTGGTTTCCAGCCACACAGAAGAATGGTCCAGGTCAACTTTTGAGATAGCCTGGCATTTCTCCCATTTTCAACTCTGGCAAAATCTGAATTAGTTGTCTGGCTTCTAAAAGGAAATATGAAAACAATGCTTGGGGATGAAAATCCCCTCAATGGGATCCAGAATTATACAGGGGAAAATACAGTGTCATGGTATCTGGAGCTACAAGGGATCTTTAACATTTTCTCATCTTAATCACTTGATTTCAAAGCTAGGTACACTGAGGCACGGGAGATTGACTTGCAAGCACTCATTCCCTGGGTTTGTGGAAGGGGCTGTGGTATCGTGCTGGATATTCCTGGGACACAGATTAAGGTCTCACACTGCCATTTGGCACATAGTGGGTTTTATGTACAGGTCCATAAATTCAAATTTCCTGCAAAATGTAAGCACTCCTGCTAAGGCCAAGTGCCAATTCACTGTACTGTTCAAAAACAAAAAGGAAAACCAACACTGTCATGGCTGAGCAGGGCACTGAAGCATGGGAGAAGTTGCTATGGCTCTTCTAAGCAGCAGAAACAGATAGCTAGGTAACCGATCTTGGCATCTCAATAGGTCATCACAGGAGATGTACGATCATTCATTCATATGAATAATATTGAGTGTCAACAAAAATGCAAGACCCAAACTATGCAAATGGCAAGGTTACACAGGTGAATAATAAGAGAATACCAGCTCTCGTGCAGTGCCCAGTTTTGATAAATGCTAAAAAGGTATTTGATGAGATCCAATACCCATTTTTAAAAAATATTTTATTTATTTATTTGAGAGAGAGAGAGAGAAACAGCATGAGAGGGGATAGGGTCAGAGGGAGAAGCAGGCTCCCCACTGAGCCGGGAGCCCGATGTGGGACTCGATCCCAGGACTCCAGGATCATGACCTGACCTGAGTCGCTTAACCAACTGAGCCACCCAGGCGCCCAGATCCAATACCCATTTTTTAATTTAAAATGATACATCATTAGTTAACAATAGAAGGGAGAAATACATTGCAAGATTAATAGTGATTATCTTGTAGTAATACGAGTAATGTCTAAAATTCTGTTATAATTTTTACCCTATTTTCCAGTTCTTTGTAAATTCTTTATAGTGAGGTTATATTGTTTTATATTTATTTATAGCACAGAAGTTTAAATTAGATATCTGGAATTTTTTAAGTCTGGAAAAGAGAAATATATTACTTTTATAACAGACCCTTTCTCACCTTCTCCTCTCCCCTCCACTCCCACATCATTAAATTTTATAGGACGGGTTATATTTTCCACAGCAGGAATGCCACTGCTGATGTGTAATGTAACTATGTTGACAGACATAAAGAATTGGCTTTTTCTATACAGACAAGTTTCTTGAATGTTTGGCTTATTTTGCTTTTAAGTGATGCAAGGAAAAGAATTTGAGGGTTTTAGCTCAATAATTTTCTTTCCTTCTTTCAGTCAAAGAGGCTTTATATGAGTTCCTATATAAGACAACTTAACAATATTCAACATATGTCTTGGACTTTTAGGGAATACCCCTTTAGAAAAAGAGAATTGGAGGAAAAGCTATAAAAAATCACAACCATTAATAATAGTAGCTCATTGTAAGTGACGTGTGCCAAGCAATAATCTATGCATTTTCTGTGCATTAATTCATTTCATTCCCACAAGAGTCCTTTGAAGCATGCACCATTATCCTATTTTACAGATGAGGAAACGGAGGTGTGGGGTTGGTAAGCAAAGCCATATAGCTACTAAGAAGTAGATTCAGGATTCAGACTTGAGCACTGTGGCTCCAGAATCCATGTTCTTAATCATTCTGCCACGGTGCCTCTCATAATAAATAGCGGGAGGTGAGGAGGGTGTATCAGTCTGGGTTCAGTTTGGAGACAGAAACCACACAGTGATTTAAAGGGGATGTGTGACATGAAGAATTATTAAACAATAATAAAAGAGTAACTATCAGATATTTTTTAAAAAAAATCCTCTGTATGGTCTCTGGGGCTGAGGGAATTGAGGACAAATGTGAAATTGGGCCCTTTCCCAAGGCCGGAGTTCAGAACTCATTAGCAAAAGTATGAATACAGCTAACTGGAGGGCAAAAATCTGTTGGTTTGCCTGGCCAGACCTGGTCTGTGGCTGCTATGCAAGCAGGAAGTAGTGCTCTGGGAAATATGTGGGAGTGCGGCTGGTTTGGGGGCACATGGGCATGAAAAGGGAATGGGCGTGCTGGGGAAGCAGAAGGCTTCGAGCATGTGATGTCCATGTCAGGAGGGCCACGAGCAAATGATTACAGGCCAGGACTGTGAAGTTTCCCAGGGACCACACATTCTGGGCACCTGGTTAGGGCAGAGCATCACGGGATATCCTCACTCCCAACTGCTGACCCCAGGCAGCAGCCAAGAAGAGCAAGGGAGCCCCTTCCTCCTGCAGTGTTCCTCCAGGACTCTCTACTGAGAAAGCATAACGTTGTGCTTCTGTGGGGGAGAAATGCTTAAAGGATTCCTATCCATTATCACAGAGCATGCATGGAGCTCAGAGGCAGCACTCTGGTGAGTGGCACAGAGGGAGCTCTGATCTGGTTATGCTACTTGATAACAAGCCTACTCCTGTTTTCCCAAAGGACCTTTCACCTGGTGAGCAACCCAGACCTTGTTTTGGCAGTGTCTATGACCAAAACAAGAAATGAAGCCTGTGGCTATCCAGTTATTGTTCAGGTAAGATATATATATATATATAGGCTAAGTAGTAATCATGGCCCTTTATTTAAAGTTAAGTAAAGCTTTACGCTTCCTCGTTGTGTAGAAAGATAATGGCTGTCATAGAAACCTATTTTGAATGCCATTGTTAAAATATTTACAATAGTCTGCCTAGATTTCAAATTCAACATGTTCATGTAGCTCTTAATTTAGTTTAATCCAACAGATGGTGATTGTGGGCTTGCTGCATGTCAGGACTTATGCTAGTTACTTAAATCAAATCCAAGGGCAAGCATGAGAAATTATCTCAGTAGCATTCATATAGTCTCAGTGGTGGGTACAGTCAAGTGAATAGCTGTTAGAGGCACGTGTTTTAAGCTCAGTGATTGGGACGTATGCAAGTCCCCTCTTACCTGGCAACTGGAGGGAAAGAGCATTATCAGAGAGGTCTTCCTGAAGGATGTGAACTCATCAGTGTTAATTCTACGAAGATACTCATTTGAAATACACTTAGCATACTTTAGCAAATGCTTGTAGCAGCCAAACAGCTTTTGGAGACTCCAGAGAAATCTGGGTTCATTTGAGTTTTGGGTAAAGATTTATGGAGTTCTTTTTTCATGTTTATCTGTCATCCTTACTTGTAACCAAAGGCACCCCTAAATGGCTATGTGTTTTTCCTTGCTAGGAGAAAGAAAGTTTAGGAGCACCGCTGCTCTGAATTTATTTTCTATATCCTCCATAGTATTTACCATCTTTTTGTTGAACAGAATATATTATCTCCAAAGTACATTTGTTTTATTCCATGTTTTTAATAGCAATGAGGCAGCTTGTTTTCCAGGTCCTGAATCCATAATTGGGGTATAGCAATCTGGACAAATATCAAAGCTTAATTAAGTCTTCTATCCTGCTGATAACTATGGACTAAAAATTTATTCTAGGAGACATCGTATATATAACATCACATTCTTTCCTGTCAGGTGCCTCTTTTGCACGGGCCACAGTGAGATTAAAACCTCATGCAGATGCAAATTTTGTACCTTAATCAGTTTCATAAAATTATAGATATTGACATTTTCCCCTAAGGTTCCCATTTTTAAGAAATGAGTTTTATCTCAAGGTAATTGTATTAGCTTTCAAGATTTTTTTCTTTGCTGATGTTTCATTTTTATTTCTTAAAGCAATCAGTTTGTGAGAAAGTATTAAATTTCATGTAAAATAATAAAAATGAGGCATGTTAGGTTAATGTTACTAGACCCCCCACTCTCTGTTCCTTGAAATATAGTCTTTGTTTTCCATGCCTCTGAGGGATGCTCTATTGTCTGACCTATTAAATCAATTCTTAAGACCCATTTATTTTCCTCTTTACTATCAATCTCTCCCTGGTAAAGTAAGTGCTATTCATTATAAAGTTCCTTGAGGTGTCATGATATGTTGAGTTGGAACTAATCTACTGGTTTAAATTCTCTAAAATTGAAACTACTCATTTCTTTACTTATGCTTGAGCCAAGTTTTATAATTAGAATAAATGTGCTGTTTCTGTTACATATAAAACTGCCTGTACTCATTTAAAAAAAAAACAAAACCTCAATAACCAGGGAAACGTAAATTACAATAGCAACAAGACACTATTTTTCATTTATTAAATTGATATTTGGGCAAGAATGTGAGGAAAACAAGCCATATCATATTCTACTGGTGTAAGTGTAAACTAGAATAACCTTTCTAGAAAGCATTTTGATATGATAAAGCTTAATATGATGTCTCATAATATTTAAAAATGATCATGTTATTTTATCAGCAATTGTACTTGAGGAGTTTGTTCTAAAGAATTTTTCATGGATTTATATGAAAATTTATTTATATGATTATTCATTGCTTTTTTGCTTATAATAAGGAAAATTTGAGAAACAATCTACGTGTTTACATATTGGGAATTGGTAAAATAAAACATCCCTAAGATCAAGATTAAGAATGTTAGGAAAAGGTACATGGAATATTCTTGTTAAAAAAACTAATGCAGTTACCAAATTATATGCATTTTGTGATTTCATTTTTGTAAAAAAGGATGCATATTTATAAATATAAAAAATGTTGCATATATAATCATCAAATATAAATAAGTTATCACTGCATAGTAGAATTATGAGTAATTATCTATACTTTCTGAATTTATGCAATGAAACTGTGACAGCTATAATCAAATCATAAACTCTCCTGTCTGTTTGACTCCATATTTTATCCTTTTTTCAGAAATACAAACCATATAACAATGGGACGTCCAATCAAAAGTGGAATTATGTGGAAAATACCAAAGCTTTTATGGCCTTTCATAGCACTGCATTGGATAAGGAGATCACAGCAGCAAATTATGCTGGTATTTGTACATCCTCTGTGCTTAAAGAGGAGAACATTGATCAACCAGTAAGTGGTTCTTTTCTAGTAAGGATAAAAGAAAAATAGGGGAAAATGAAGTAATTTAATAAAGCTAGAACTTTTTTTTTCCCTAGAAAACCTTATATTCACACAAATTAAACACTGATTTGTGAATGAAATCACTTAGACTCTGTGATTCTGGTTAGGAAACAATGAAGGAATATTGGTATTGCCCTCTGCTTATATTGTTTCAATGGTTCCCTATCACCAGCACCACCTGTGGTCCATCATCAGTTCACCAGAACACTCATGAGTGAGGATAATCACACATACTACACTCCCACAGGTGTGCCTGCCACACTAGATGTCACTCGACTCCAGAAAACATATTAAGATGCAAATGATTATAAGTGACTTTAACTATATTACATTATACCAAGCATAGGTCTAAATCTGAATCCCTATACTCTGATTTTTAGAGGAAATAATTTTTCAAATGTGGTCCTATAGTTTTTATTAGTAAGGAATTGCTGCATACTTTACAAATACCTGAGGTATTTGTGGGTCTGTATGTCAAACTGCCTTGCTTTTGTTGATTACTAATGGCCTGTAGAAATCTCATAATGTACACTGCAAGATTCTCTATCCTCTTTGCTTCTCAGACATTTCTAAATAGCTGCCTCTTCTCCTTCACCCCAAATTCCCTAGCTCTACTAAATAATTTGTGTTTGTCCAGATTTACCATACCATTTTACATGTCTTTGGTTTTGACTATGCTATCCTCCCCCCAACCCTTTCCGCCTTTGTGAATTCATACCAGTTAGCAAAAATGCTGTCAAAGACTACTAGGGTCATCTTAAAAGGAATCAAGTCAGCTGGAAAAGTCTCCCAGTTCAAAGATAAAACAATTTAAGCATCAATAAGACTACTGAATGTGGTGGATGGACATATGTCAAATATGTTTAAATCCATATGTTCATACTGACATTAAACAAGAACAACAATAATTCATTGATCACAATTAGATGATGCTAAGGAACCAGTTAGTTACTTTGACAACTAGGAAATAAAGAATCAAGCATTTATTTTTTTCTTCTTTTATGACCGGTACCTTAGGATAACAAAATAGTAGATGAGAAGTTTCACTTCATAGGAATATCCCAGCTAATAAGTGAATAAGGTATGAAAAAATTGGAATGCCACTATGTAGTAAACTTTGGTAAATTAATTGATCTAGGCAATGGTTATCAGTGACTGCTAACATTACAAACAGAGACACAACAGATAATATATGCCCCTTGATGGAAGTACATAGTACCGCTTATGAAGTGTACCTCCCTCCACAAATGTAACTGGAATTTAATCAAGTCTTTCATTCTAACTAATAATTTACTGGAAATATAGGAGATAGAGGAACATGGTAAAAGACACAAGACCATGTAGTCATCAAAATCCTGACAATAAATATAGAGCAAATAAATTACAATAAAAGAGAGAAAGAGATATAGGAGGAACATAGAGATTAATAAAATAAATTTAAGAAGTATAGAAACCAATTATAATGTATTGACCTGATTTTGATTCTGTTTCAAACAAATTATAAGGGGAGAGAGATGATTGTAGAAATTTGAATACTGACTAAATATTTTATTATATTAAGGTATTATTATGGTTAATTTTAGGTGTGATATAGTTATGATAAAAGAATTTTTATCTTTTAGAGGTACATACTGATATATTTAAGAATGAAATGATATGATGCATAGGAGATGTTTCAAAGTAATCTAGGGTGGGATTAGAAGTGAGTGGGGATGCAGATGAAACAAGATTGGTAATTGTTAATAATTCTTGAAGCTGGGTGAAGGGTAGAGGGGGGGTTATCATACTTTGGTATATGATCGAAATTTTCTGGTGATTATACAACTCAGGGTTTTTTGTAAGACACAGGAAAGGAGGAACTGTACAGCTGGTGTGAAAGGAAAGAAGGGAGTAATTATAGAGATAGAAGGTAGAATACAGGCTGAGTTTTAGAGGGTGGTGGCATGAAAGGTGTGGGGGATAGCAGAAGAGACGTCTCAGTGGACATTTTGGTGTTCTGCTTAAGTACCAGAATCTTCTACTTAACAATTTTGTTAGAAATATTTTCAAAACTATTCTGTGTATTTTTTCTTAACCAGAATAGGCAGAGAATCAATATGCTGGTTACAGTGCCACACATCAGATAGTTGGCACATTAGTTTTACTCTGCACCCATCGTTAAATCATACATGCAACTTACTTTCTTCAAAATAATTCCTGAAGGCCATTTGTTGTCTGTCATTTTTTTTACTAATAAGAGAGTGCAACTTAGAAGATACATCAGCATGACTCCAATGCAGTATAAACTGGCTCTTTTTGCAAAGTAAGTTCTTTAATCAGATACTGAAATGGCCTTCTAAGGTCATTTTTTTTTTAAACTTGAACACAGTTGCCACTTTCGATGGCTTCATCGATAACTTCTCGTCTTTAGCACCAATCACAGCACTTATTTCATCACCAGTAAACCACTCAATTAAGAACTCAGGAAACAACATGTGTTGGTGAGAATGTTGAGAAAAGGGAACCCTCTTACACTGTTGGTGGGAATGCAAACTGGTGCAGCCACTCTGGAAAATAGTATAGAGATTCCTCAAAAAAGTTAAAAATAGAACTACCCTATGATCCAGCAATTGCACTAGTAGGTATTTATCCAAAGGATACAAACATAGTGATTTAAAGGGGCACATGCACCCCAGTGTTTATAACAGCAGTGTTCACAGTAGCCAAAATATGGAAAGAGCCCAGATGTCCATTGACAGATGAATGGATAACAAAGATGTGAGATATATATATATATATATATATATATATATATACACACACACACACACACACAAACATACACACACAATGGAATATTACTCAGCCATCAAAAAGAATGAAATCTTGCCATTTGCAATGACATGGCTGGAAATAGAGGGTGTTATGCTAAGTGAAAGAAGTCAGTCAGAGAAAGACAAATACCATATGATTTCACTCATATGTGGAATTTAAAAAACAAAACAGATGAACATAGGGGAAGGGAAGGGAAAAAATGAGATGAAAATAGAGAGGGAGGCAAACCATAAGAGATGCTGAACTCAAGGAAACAAACTGAGGGTTGCTGGAGGGGAGGTGGGTGAGGTGAAAGGGTGATTGGGTGTTGGGTATTAAGTGGGGCAGTTTATGTAATGAGCACAGGGTGTGATATGCAACTGATGAATCACTAAATTCTACCCCTGAAATGAATAATACAGTATATGTTAAGTAAATTGAATTGAAATAAAGAATTAAAAAAAAATTTTTTTTAATTAAAACAAAACAAAACAAAAAAACCCTCCTCCATTTCCTCCTGGTCCACACCAATCCAATTATTAGTTAATTTTATTTAGTAGCAAAAAAAAAAAAAAAATTTATTTAGTAGCCATCTTGTGACTTTTTGGGTATTTTCCCTACAGGGCTTTAAAACTTGGTTGCATTTTAGTAAATCTAGACAAAATTTAGGTAATTTTTGCTAACTTTTATTAACTTCTGGATAGTAATTGTAGAAGCTGAGTATGGGTTCATGGGGGATCTGTATATTGTACTATTTTTGTATGATTGAAATATTTTATGATAAAAAAGGAAAGAAGGGAGACCTAAAGTTTAGGCCTCAATGATTTTAAAACTAGTGCCTTTCTTTAACCATATAATCAAGATGTTCTTTTTAAAACAAGACCCATCGATATGCTATCTGCAAGAGACTCATTTTAGACCCAAAGACACCCCCAGATTGAAAGTGAGGGGGTGGAAAACCATTTACCATGCTAATGACACCAAAAGAAAGCTGGGGTGGCAATCCTTATATCAGACAAATTAGATTTTAAACCAAAGACTGTAATAAGAGTTGAGGAAGGACACTATATCCTACTTAAAGGGTCTATCCAACAAGAAGATCTAACAATTGTAAATATCTATGCCCCTAACATGGGAGCAGCCAATTATATAAGGCAATTAATAACAAAAGCAAAGAAACACATTGACAACAATACAATAATAGTGGGGGACTTTAACACCCCCCTCACTGAAATGGACAGATCATCTAAGCAAAAGATCAACAAGGAAATAAAGACTTTAAATGACACACTGGACCAAATGGACTTCACAGATATATTCAGAACATTCCATCCCAAAGCAACAGAATACACATTCTTCTCTAGTGCCCGTGGAACATTCTCCAGAATAGATCACATCCTAGGCCACAAATCAATCTCAACCAGTACCAAAAGATTGGGATCATTCCCTGAATATTTTCAGACCACAATGCTTTGAAACTAGAACTCAATCACAAGAGGAAAGTCAGAAAGAACTCAAATACATGGAGGCTAAAGAGCATCCTACTAAAGAATGAATGGGTCAACCAGGAAATTAAAGACGAATTTAAAAAATTCATGAAAATGAAAACACAACTGTTCAAAATCTTTGGGATGCAGCAAAGGCAGTCCTAAGAGGAAAGTATATAGCAATACAAGCCTTCCTCCAGAAACAAGAAAGGTCTCTAATACACAACCTAACCCTACACCTAAAGGAGCTGGAGAAAGAACAGCAAATAAAGCCTAAACCCAGCAGGAGAAGAGAAATCATAAAGATCAGAGCAGAAATCAATGAAATAGACACCAAAAGATCAGTAGAACAGATCAACGAAACTAGGAGCTGGTTCTTTGAAAGAATTAAGAAGATTGATAAACCCCTGGCCAGACTTATCAAAAAGAAAAGAAAAATGACCCAAAAAAATAAATTCATGAATAAAGGAGGAGAGATCACAACCAACACCAAAGAAATACAAACAATTATAAGAACATATTATGAGCAACTCTATGCCAGGAAATTAGATAATCTGGAAGAAATGGATGCATTCCTAGAAATGTATCAACTACCAAAACTGAACCAGGAAGAAGTAGAAAACCTGAACAGACCTATAACCACTAAGGAAATTGAAGCAGTCATCAAAA